CCTGGCCTAATGGCTTTGAATTTGACCGTTTTTTGATTTTGCGGTCTGATACTTTTCTGAGCAGCTTCCTATATGCTTACATTAACTGGTTCTGATTGGTTAGTGTAATATATTGGATATGCCACAAAGTTGATTTCCCATGGACTATATATGATATGTCAAAAGAAAGTGGCAGCTTTGCAATTTGCATGCAAAAAGGCGCCAACCCTCCAACTCAGTGTTGGGTAGGAAACCATATTATACGTGCCACCCAGTACAAGAACCACACACACATCTCTCAACCCCAGTACAATTAAAGTACTTTAAGAAATAACCTAATCACTTTGATTCCATTATTAATTGGGCGGCTCTCCTTACTTTCAAAATTTTGAATAAACACAAGCAAGTCCTGGATTGAACACCCCACAGGCAGCTTATACATAACTAAAATCCTTCTTCGTGATGGAGGAAGCTTTGACTAGCGGTGTATCTCCTTTTACTTTTAATTTTCACTATTATATATATATTTATATGAAGTTTGATTTGAATGTCTACTTTATTTGAGTGATGGATGGAAGAAGGAAAATTGACCAAGTTCGGTTACTGAAGCAAATTAACATGCAAACTTGTATTTGTTTTGAAAGCGATAAATGCACCTTCCTGCTCTGTCCTTTTCTCTTAGTCTTCACCATAAAGGAAAAGAATAATCTAGTTAAGATCACATATATGTAGAATCAAGATGCCACTAATCAAGGTATATATATATGAAGAATCCGTCAAAGCACCTGTACTTATAACATTTGCATTAATCAACGTCAAATAACGATTAACAAACTAGACATCAGGAAGCAACGTAGAATTTTGATATTGATTTGTACGTGGGCATGCTGCAAAAAGATATATGGTCGTTTGAATATTCATGATGTCAAACGAGATTTAAAGTAAAAGAGAGAGTCACATATAGAACAAAATTTGAACTTCTTTTGCTGCAGTAGTCAGTGATACTACTTGATTTGCTTTTTTCTGGGTTAGCTAGCTAGATTCAATAACAAAAAGAGTTTTGAAATATTGTTTTGAGGCAAAGGAAGTGGCAGATATTGACCAGAGAAAAATCAATGACAATTTGCAATAAATCATGAATTGAAACATTATGCGTATGTATGCGCTTGTGTCTTAATTCCCAAGTCCGATCCGAACCAATTCTTAATTAACCTCTATTTACCTAATCCATATAGCCTCGAACTCGATCATATTTAAATAATTAAATATATAGCGATGGTGAATTTCCACTCACAATCAAGCACACGTACACATGCACATTCACGATCTACTTTTGAATGAAGAATAGCCTTCCAACTTTTGTCAGAGTTTTCTCATCAACCAAACATATGCATTTAGTCCACCATCTCTGAATCTCTCTTCCTTCCTACTAACTCTTGATGAGACAGATTAATATATCCATAAAACTCTAAAAATAATCATATATGACTGAAATGGCCGTCCATCAGCATAATTGATATCATGTGCATGCGTCATATTATTTAATATTAATTAGTAATTAAGTATATCGATAGATAGCTAGGTCTGGTGAGGCTAAGGTTTGTGTTCAACATCACTTCAAGTTTAGTGGCTGAAGTGGCTATATAGTACATGCTTTTGGGGACAAAGCTGTAGGAAAGGAAAATAAAGTAACATATATGAATGCACGTAATTGTTGGCCACGAAAGAAAAGAGACGAGTTAAAAAATAATAGGGACGATGGATACAACCTTATCTAATTTGTTTATGAAAAGAACAGAAGAATTAATAAACTCGCCAATCACGTATTAACAATAATAATGTTAATGTTGCATTATCGTACGTTATCAATATGAGCACATGATACAAAAGTATATATGGCTAGCTAGGTTTTATTATTAATATAACAAACATTTGATGACGCAAGGCCATGCATATGCATGCCTGTTGTATTACTCGCTCAGCCCCTGTCGTTTTGTGACTCCAACTATAATAAAAGCCGTATACGCCATTTTGTGCTTCCAAGACCTTTCAATATTATTTTCATATGTATTCATTTTTATCAGTCAGAGAAGACTTTAAACTGTGTTAAACGCCAGGCCCAAAAAATTTGAAACTAATTTTGGCTTTTACCTGGGTTATAAATATATATTTTTAAATGTACAAAAGTAAAATTACACGCACCTAATGATTTATTCCTTTTTGTCTTCTTAATTCATGAAAAGATCCCAACGCAGAGTGACAAACATGTCATTACATTCGCGAATATATTTGGGAAGACGATGATGATTTCTCTGCATCAACAAATTCGATCTTCCTTGCTCATTCACTTCGATCATATATATTGTCTCCGAAATTATTACCACGGCAATAATTGATTAATTTTAGTGGGGTTTTTATAAGAAAAAATGGTTTCGTCTTGTTATTTTGATATAAACTTACAAATTGACCGCTTGCTTAATTTAGATATTTGTCGTCACTTGGATGGCTAATTACTTCGAAATTGATTCAAAGTTGTGATATTAGGTAGTACTGAAAGCTCCGGTTCTCACTCATCGATCCATCGTGTAACATTACATTGAAATAATGATATTTTTGGATATGTGTGGATGTGAAAAACGTATAGTTCTCCAGTTGAAAAGCTCAAATTAACTCCACGCGTCATTTCACCATTGGCGTATTACCAGAATATGAGCGAAAATCCATGGGGTGTGGATATTGAGTTATTAACCAACACTTTCTTATTCCCATCCTGAATTTAGATATGGTTTGATTGCCTGTAATGAGAAAACGAAAAAGAGAAGGGACCAAAAAAAAAAAACAAGAAAAAGAGAAACATGTGAACGCACGAAAAAAGGGAGAGAGAAAAAACAGAGAAATGACATGGCAGTCAAAAGTTGACATCTTACTACAGCAACATCGTCTACTCGCCGCGTTGAAAGAGCCACGTGTCACCCCACGAGGGTCAAATCATGAGACCTCTCTCTCCCCGCTGTGGTGCCTATTTGCAATTTCCTAATAATTGAAGGACGCCGCTTTAAATTGTCTGCGCTTCCCCCATATCCGATCACCTTCGTGGATAGATATATTTAAAGTTTTTTTTTCCATATTACATAATAACAGCATTAACACCAAATAATAAGATCATGTGTAGATTACGTCCCAGAAAAAAAGAAGAAACCATTATTATTTTCGGAGAAAAATGAAGTTTAATTATGACATTTTTTAATTCATTAATTTTATTTTTTCACAGAGCTTAATTAACTTAAAATTTCAATTAAGAGCAAACAAATATATCTATTTCACCCAACCTAATTGTATGAAATTATATGTGGGGCCCCTCATGAACTCTGATAGATAACTTCTCGTGAATAATGTGGTTTGTTGGTGACTTGATGACGTTTTTATATTAACGGATGATTTAATTTGTTCACTAGCTAGGATATCATAACATCATTTTCAAAAAGAAAAAGAAAAGGATATGAATAGGATTCCCTTGAATGAGAAATCTCACTTGAAAAGAAGACAGGCGCTACTTTGTGCACTAATCTATATTAATTTTAACATACAAAGAGATCGATCGATCTTAATTCTCAACAAGTATCAAATTAAACCCACTACGTCTTATAATCATGGTGGGGAAAACTAGTAACTCTTTTATTAGGTGGTAATTAATCTAAGGGTATCATTAATCAGCTAGTCAATTTACCTAATAAAACCGCAAGCTGATGATTATTCAATTATAAGCTACAAAAAAGATACATATTATTACACTTTTTAACTTCAAAAAACATACATATATTATAGTAGCTAATTAATTTTTAGTTTACTTTTGAAAAATCCATCTCATAATAATGGAATTTCAAGATTGACTTTGATGCTTGTGTATGTATAATATTTAAAGACAAAACATTGCATGCATGGCTTGTTAATTAATCCACGTCAAACCTACAAAATTTATGAATACCAGTTCAACGAGCCGCAAACCAAATATACAGTATGAATGAGTCGAGAGAGCTCTAATTTCCTGCCCAAAATTCTGATGTTCACAATTCCTTGTATATACCAAAAGGGATCATCATCGCATCATCACTTGTAAAATAAAATTAAAATCTGTAAAGAAAATTCCTGTTTGAATATTTTCTCGGGTTCATATAACGTGTAATTTTACCCCTCATCTTCTTATTTCTGCAGTGTAATTAGCATCCCAATTTTTTTAGCTGTACAATTTACCTATGATCTTTTTATGTAATTTTACTCATGATTTTTTTTTTTTTGCATTGATGCACCTGATGAAATAAGCTTATGGGTAAAATTTCACTTTTATGTTTTTTTTTTTTTAAAAGAACATGTATTTCTTTTTCATATACAAAAAATTTGGTCTAATTTATGATGTAACTTACCTAACAAACCAGTTTTTATATTTAGGACTTGTATTTAAAGGAATTTTATGCATATTACAGATTTTAGGTCTCTTGACGAATAAAATTTCTAAATTTTTATCAATTTTCGCTTGTTTGTTTAGTACTCCATAAAATCCTCAAGCACGAGTGAATTCTTGATTCTTCGACAAAGAGTGTTGTACGTGCAAACCCCATCCAATTTTCTATCTGTTCACTCTAAGCATGTAGAAATTATGAAAAGGGAGATGACATGTATATTTGAAGTCAACGTGAGTGAATAGATTGTAAAATATTGGGGCCACCACATGATTTTCTTGGTTACCGATTAATCTATCAATGAATAATCGTCCCTCGGAATCAGCCCAGCCGCAACTAAACAACGACCCGACCCGACACCACACCCGATGATTACACTAACCGACCACATAAACAAAGGAGCCTTGGAATTTCTGGTGATCTCGGTCAAACCACTCGCCAAACATGCCTTTTCTCTCTCTCCTCCCTTCTCTCTCTACCCTCCACACTCGATTTATAACTTACTGCCTCGTCGCCCACCTGCAAAACCCCACTCTCTCTCTCTCCCCCCCTTCCCCCCACCCGATGGCTTCGTCATCATCTTCGGCCTTAAATCGCATTACACTCAGAGACAGCTTAAACAACCTTCCAAAGTCCCATTCTTTTGGAAGAGCTTCACTGCCCAGTAGATCCAGATCCAAATTATGTCCTTCTACGTACCCAATTCAATTAGCTTCTTCTGATACAATAACACCCATGGTTAAAACCAGTACTAAAACCTCTGATGCAGATACCACTACCTCTCTCGCTTTATCTAATTTCTGGAGAGAGGTTCAAGGGTGCAACAACTGGGAGCACCTTCTAGATCCTTTGCACCCTCTTCTTCGCCGGGAAATTATCCGGTACGGAGAGTTCGTCACGGCGTGTTACAAGGCTTTCGATCTCGACCCTGCCTCAAAGCGTTACTTGAGCTGCAAGTATGGCAAGAAACGAATGTTCAATGAGGTAGGAATGGCAGATTGTGGCTATGAAGTCGTCAAGTACATCTACGCCACTCCTGAAATCACCATCCAAAATTTCTCTTCTTGTGGACGTTGGATCGGCTTCGTTGCTGTCTCATCCGATGAAGCCACATGGCGGCTTGGCCGGCGCGACATAGTCATAACTTTCCGGGGAACTGTCACTGGCCAAGAATGGGTAGCGAACTTCATGAGCTCCCTGATTCCGGCTCAGCTCGACCCACATAACCCCCGTCCCGACGTGAAGGTAGAATCTGGGTTTCTCTCTCTCTACACCTCCGACGAAGCTTCAACCTCAAAATTCGGCGTCGCAAGCTGCCGGGAGCAGCTACTGTCCGAGATCTCAAGACTGCTCCACAAATATAAAGGCGAAAATATTAGCCTAACGATGGCGGGTCATAGCATGGGCAGTGCATTGGCTCTCTTGCTCGCCTACGACGTGGCAGAGCTAGGACTTAACAAGTTCACTACAAGTGGACAAAAAACTGAAGTACCTGTCACTGTTTTCTCGTTCGGTGGGCCTCGAGTCGGAAACCTAGGTTTCAAAGATCGGTGCGAAGAGTTGGGTGTGAAAGTGCTGAGAATCGCGAATGTGAACGACCCCATCACGAAGCTTCCAGGGGTTGTCTTCAACAACGAGAATTTTAGGGTTTCTAGTTTGGGATTTTCGTGTTATGCCCATGTGGGAGTTGAGCTATTACTAGATTTCTTCAGCGTCCAAAACCCATCCTGCGTTCACGACTTGGAAAGTTACCTAGGTTGCCTCCTAAAGTACTCCAAGTCCGATAACAGAGAAGAGGGGTTTGGGTTTCAGGTTCATGTGGATGAAGTGATGAGTAATTTGATGGAGAAGGGAAGAGAGTTGCTCTTGAGCTCTCATCAGAACATCAACTTGTTGCCGGGGCTCATCTCCGATGCCGGAAACCAGCATGGTTTTCTGGCATGGAGCTCAAGAGATTTGATAAGTTCTTGGGGCAATGAACTACTCTTTGGCCTGGTTCTTTTGTTAATGTAGCAATTAGTACTAGTACATAATCATTTATATCGATTAGAAGAGAATTCATATACATATGAAGTCACTGTAAATTGAAGATACTATGGGAGGAGAGAATATGTATAAATCCTGTGAAGATGAGTATTTTTGCTATATATATATATATATATATATATATATAGATCATTCATGTTTATAATCAATATGAGATTTGTTAATTCATCAAGTGATCACGGTCTCTGTGTGTGTGTGGATGGAAAGCTAAGTTTTCTTGCCACACAGCAAGTGTTTACTCATTATTACAGTACCTGGGGAAGAAGAAGAAGGGGCATTTCCAGTGGTTTTCGTGTTTGACACGTGACCTAGCTATTCAAAGTCAGATGTAGTGTTTTAATTTCTGTTGTTCATAAATTGTTGGAGATCAGCCAGCTATTTTCTAGAGACCTTTGTTTTGTTCCTCTCTCTCCCAATTGATCTTCCTTTTAATCTGTTCACATGGCCTAAGATTTTACATGATGATAAGGTACTTTTACTTTTGTAGGGTTCGTATAGAGATGGAAATCTGCAGAAGGCGTAAGAACGACTTTCTGGCGTTCTTTAATTAACTTCCAGAGATTAGTGTATATATAATCTCAATATAATGGATATGAAATAATGGGAAAAGAACTCCCAAAGCCAGCGTTTTGTATCTTTTGGTCAGCTTCTAATTAATTAGTTTAGACTAATTAATCACCAAATTGGAAAGAACGGTTCATTAATTTGAGATAATTAATCCAGTGTTGTTGTCATCTAATTGAAGTTCGTGTGTATGTGAAAGGACCCTCATGTTGTTTCTATAACGCATCACATATATAGAAAAGACATATTAATTAGTCCGAGTCTTTCAGCACAAGTTGGCGTTTCTTTGGCCAGGCAGAATTTCCGAAGCAGTCGAAGATAAATTAAACCTAATGGGAAAAACGTTTCGATCTGAAATTAATAACAATAATTAATTTCAATATATTTCTCTTTGTGGCTAGGCTGCGGGCACGTGTAATATGTTACCCCAGCGGAGGCTCCACTGGCCTGGGATTTGTAAAGAAACATTTTCTCACAAGTATAGCTTGTATTTATTCATTTTATGAATAGACCTATTTTTCCCTATCATGTGGAGTTTAATTATTTGAAGATGTAACTTGTCATTTATATATATATATATATATATATATCTTAACTACATTTTTAGTTGACGCTACTGTACTCCCTTTATTCTAAAAATATTATTAATTTTGGTTTAACTAACTTCACATTAATAAAAAGAAGTTAAAAGTAGGTTAAGACAAGACTAAATTAACTTTTTAAAACATTGTGTTACTTTCAGCTATCAACCAGATGAAGTGCAGATTTTATCTATTAATTAAAATTAATATGGATGCTGACCACTGAATGACATATATAAGTTGATACAAAGTACAAAATAAAAAGGAGATTTCTAAAAAAAGAAAATAATTGAATTTTTTTATCGATGTAAAAATAAAAATTATGCTCACAACCATCTCCTTATATTTATATGTAGTGCTACCTCCGGTCTTTAATATAAAAACTTGTTTGATTTTTATTTTAGTACTAAATATAAGATCCTAATCTACTTTGTCTTTCATATTTATCTTTTTTTTTCTAATATAATCCTTATAATAATGATAGTTCTGACTAATACAGTTGATTAACGAGGTTATTTTAGGAAAAGCAACACTTGCTTGTTACAGATAACTAACTTAACAAATTTTTGTAGTCTATTCAAATTAGTTAACTAGCTCTTATATTAAGGATTGAAAATAGTGATATGTACGTAATCTGGTTGGTTTTAATTTTATTTAAATTCACAAAACAAAATTAATCGAGATGCATGCAAAATAAGAGTCATGATCTATCGGCTACTGACATCGCTTCTCTTACAAATTAATAAACAAGAACTTGATGAAAAATGAGGTGAAATTAGGAGATTTGGTGATATGAACTAACCTTTCGTTCTCAATTAAATTAAAGGGTTTTACTGCCCATGGCTTAAGATGGGCGCGCGTGTGTCGACATCTTTTACCAGGAATGACCGGATCCATGGGTAGAGTTGCGCGCGTGCGCACTAATTGCAGGCCATTGACAAAAAAGCAACAAATTTAAAAAGGGAAAACTGCGATAAAACCTCAAATAACAACATGATTTTTATAAAATTCTAATAATAACTAAGTAGCTTATAATAAAAAATTTTAAAATAAAAAATAATAAATTCTTACTCGTCATTAAGATTTTTTGATAATTAATTTTGTTACATGAGACTCTATTACAATTCTCCCATTTAAAAACCTAAACGCATGCGGGTCCTTTTAACAAGTCTTGCTGCTAATAATAATCAACTATACTCAAAATTATTGATGTGAAAGATAACTTTAAGTTATAGACTACACACAGATTATGCAACCGAACGCTATCACTTCTCTCAACTCTCATCCTCTTTATATATAAATAATTAAATTATATAGATAAAAATTTGCTTAAAATTAATTAAAAGTAGTGATAAGTAGATAGACAAAATATAACTTGATTCTCAAAAACATTCTTAGTTGTGGAGAAAACGCGAGAGGAAAAAAATAATGCAATGAGACAAATCAATAATTAATGACAATAAAAATAAAAAATGATATAGGAGCAGAGGTAGTGGTAATTATAATGTCTTCGAAAGTTCGTTTAATGTTGTGGTGTTTAATGTTGTAGTATACTAGCAAGTTGCAGTCTAATCAGAAGGAGTTATTTATGGATCTTTAATACTATCTCCGGTCCTAATTATAAGAGCCAGTTGACTAATTTGAGGAGATTAAGGAAGTAAGTTAAGTGAGTTATTTGTTCTAAATAGGTGTTGTCTTTTCTAAAATATCCTTACTAATTAAGTGTATTGACTAGAACTATTATTGTTAAAAGGGTTACTTTGAAAAAATATATATAAATATGAGAGACAAAGTGGATTGGGGTCTTATATTTATGACTAAAATAAAAGTCAAACATGATCTTATATTAAGGATCGGAGGTAGTATTTGCCCTTAATTATCTACATAATACGCTCTATTATTGCTTGATTTTGTGAATTTTTCTTCTGCGTAGAAATATTTTAATTAATAATCATATATAACATATCATTTTTTAGGCCTTGTTTGAATTAGTGTTTAATATCACTTACAAGCACCTTCCATGTAAGTTGAGATAAATATTCTCTTACATATTTATCTCATATTTTATTAATTATGATTGAAAAATTATTTATAAATCTTTTATGTTTTCGATTTTTTATCCAACACTTGTAGGGTCACCTTTTTCACATAGTTTTCGCCTTTCCTCCTGAAAACTAACTAATTAATCAGCCTCTCGCGTCTTCTCAATACACAAATGTTCCCTCTTTTATGGAGTAAATCCAACATATAAACATTACGAAAATCAAACTGCATCATAAGTAGTTTATCATTTCATATTTTTATTGATAATGACAATTTTTTTAAATTACTTACATATGAGTATATATTTTCTTTTCTTTTCTTCTCTGCTTTGCCTCTCCAAGCATTCGAAGAGGCCAACCACCAAAAGCTAACCAATTAGTATACAGTAATTAATATAAGAATTTATTTGACTTTTATTTTAGTCTTAAATATAAGTTATTAATTCACTTTATCTCTTATATTTATTCATTTTTTGTTCAAGATAGTTCTCACAATAATGTTAATTCTAGTTAATACACTTTATTAGTAATGATATTTTAGAAAAAATAACATATATTTATTACAAATAACTAACTTAATTAGTTTTCTTAATTTGCTCAAATTAGTCAACTAACTCTTATATTAAGAACTGGAAGTAGTATTAAATTCAGGCCTATCCAGAACTGCGCGCATTATTAAATTGAATATATTGCATTATTAAATTGAGCCATTAACACAAACTTAAATATACACACACGCACACATCAATACAAAACATACAGAGCAAACATGATAGTAATTAATCACAATATAATCCAATAATTATTCCTCATCCTCTCTATAAATCATAATCATCATCATCATTTCCGGAAGAAGGATCACCGACCTCTTACCACTATTTATCTCCAAATTGCCATAATTGGCTTCGCCCTCTTCATCCAACTTTTGTTCTTTCAGTCCCTACTCCCTCCCCACTCTTTCTGTGACTATGTATAAACAATATGAGAGAGAGAGAGAGAGAAATCGTGATGATGAACTTGAAATTTATAAGTTATGATAATAATAATAAGTTCGCACTATGTACGGATGAAATATGGAGATGGGATTAGGTGTTAATAACCAATAGCTTAATATTATATGAACGACTTAGTCAATGTCATAATGGTAATGCATCCCATCTAAAACATCCATGTCAATCGTCATAAATTGTGCTTCTTCTTTTTTTATTTAATACAGGTAAACACGCACACAAACATATTAATACTGGACTCAAACTCAGGACATCATTCAAGCGGGTGGCATCATTGCTATTGACAATTATAATTTATGCTTATAAAACATTGTGCAAAATTATATTAATTCAAGCTGGTATTGTTGATACAGGGTTGATTGGCTGCTAGATTTTGCAAAGA